ATTAAACTTTTTTAACAGGTGGCAACTCTTCCAAAAAATTAGCCTATTTTCCACTGTAGGTCATAAGCTATCTGCTCGCAAAGTTTCATGCAAATCCATTCAGTCATTTCCGCGTATTAATTTAATGAAACTTTTTTGACAGGTGGCAACTCTTAAGAAAAGTAGCCTATTTTCCAATCTGGGTCATAAGCTATCTGTGTGCAAATTTTCATGCAAATCCATTCAGTCGTTCCCGCATATTAAATAAATGAAACTTTTTTAACAGGCGGCAACTCTTAAAAAGAATAGCCTATTAACCAATCTGGTCCATAAGCTATCTGCGTACAAAATTTCATGCAAATCCGTGCAGTCGTTTCCGCGTGATGATTTCCCAAACATCCAAACATACAAACTTTCACATTTATAAAATTTATTAGATTATTATATTATATCGATATTTCCAAAACTGTAAGCCTCAATAACTTTATTTGAAAACAAAAAACTAGCAAAATTTGTTTCTTATTTTTATCTAAACTAATGGTCAAATCTCAAAAATTTAATATTTGATGCAAATCAGAGACTGGCAGCGAATAGTCTCGAGTCGTATCGTACATCATCGTGCGCAGAAGTGGAAAACTTTTGACTGCCATTCACCTGGGTGTGGCCAGAAGCGATTCTTGTGCGTACGGTTCAAATCGCAGCTCACAACGTCCGGATATTTATATCCACCTTACCTCTGGGTAGCAACCAAACACCCGTTTGGGAGCGAGCTAAAGTGAGAAGGCGTAAAACTTCGTGTGCGCTGGGTTCGGGTCCCGCCTTGTTAAAACCCCGCCCAATGAAAAGAAGCAAACAGCCTCGGATGAGACCCCCTTTTTCTGATGACGACCACGGCAAACGTATAAAGGACTATGATTTAAGGGTATGCACCTGGAATATCCGGACCCTTAATGGGGAAGGTGCCTCTGCCCGGCTGGTTGATGTCCTCGGGAAGACAAAGGCTGACATCACCGCCATCCAAGAAATGCGATGGACGGGGCAAGGTAAAGTAAGCGTGAAGCCTTGCGACGTCTACTACAGTTGCCACGTAAAGGAGCGCAAATTCGGTGTTGGATTTGTGGTATAAGAGAGACTCCGTCGCCGAATACCGGCGCTCACCCCAGTGGACGAACGTCTAGCCACAATCTGCATCTAAGCTAGATTGTCGTCCAAGTATCTCTTCTACGAGCACTTGGAACGTAAATATGACCGCTGCCCCGACACGATGTCAAAATCGTGCTTGGCGATTTTAATGCCAAGGTGGGCAAGGAAGGGATCTTTGGCGCCACTGTCGGAAAATTCAGCCTCCACGACGAAACGTCCGATAACGGACTGAGGCTGATCGACTTCGCCGGGGCCCGAAATATGGTAATATGTAGTACTAGGTTCCAGCATAAGAACATCCACCAAGCTACATGGCTGTCTCCAGATCGAAAAACGAGAAACCAAATCGATCATGTTGTGATAGACGGAAGGCATGCTTCAAGCGTTTTGGACGTACGTACACTCCGAGGGCCAAACATCGACTCGGACCATTATCTTGTTGTAGCCAAGATGCGCA